ATAAAACGTATGAGAGTTTACAAGGAAGTCAAAGCATTTTAAGAAAACCAGCTGATCCTCCCACCTCACCAAGAAAGGACTTTGACCAGTTTGAGCCAAGGAAGCACAGGGCCACACTCACCTAGCAGTAGGGCATGGTTGCGTTGGGCAGCTTTGCAACATCCACAAGCAGACGGAGAGGGCTGCAGAGGGGCTCCCACTCCTCACTGGGTGAAAGGCACATACTAATAGAAATATACACACAAATAAAACTGAAACCACCTGGTTCCACAGCACTGATGTTAAGGCCCCATGCTGAAGAAATGATATATATATAGTTGGGAGAGTCTGGGCATACATAAGGGAAGGGGATTGGTCCGTAGGTCCAGATCAGTAAAGTAAAGCTATAGCAAAGGGTGGCTGCCACATTTCTCTGAGTAAAATTTTGGCTCCTTAACCTTAGGGAAACAAGCTGGGAGAAAGCTGCAGCCAGACCTTACCAACAGAGTGTAAAGATTGGCTTCCTTCCAGTTTTATTTGACCTTCATTGCCAGTTATCCAAACATCAACAATAAGGCTTAAAAACTCCAGCCTCTACCCTTTGCTATATGCTCAGGACGATTCACTGCTGCCATGGGTCATAGAGAGCCAAAATGTTTCGGGACCCAGAAACCACCAGCTCGAGCCTGGCAGCCAGGCAAGGCTGTTTGCCAAACCTGCCTGGCAAAGGCTCAGCACAGGCACAGCCAGTGCCAAGATGGTCATACTCAACACCTAGGTTCAGGCTGTAGAGTGCTGCCCCACAGAGCAGACCACGCAGGGGAGTTCTGTAGGGCCTGGCATAGCTCCTCACTAACCTTCACATAGCAGCTGATATAAGCTACAGATCCTATAACTCACCCACTTGGTGCTAGGGCTGGGCTGCTGATCAACTTCCAAAGAGGCAAAGTGGGAGGCAAGGTCCTGCAATCCCCCCACCACGGTGCAGGTAGCCACTTTGCCATCAGGAAGGAAGGGGTTCCTGTGAAGCCATACAGGACAGGAAGAACATGATGAGCCAGACACCCTTCACAGGCTTCACTTGGATGCTTGCCAAGTTTTGCTGTGTTCAGATAAGTTTCATTCCAGGGGACTGCTAGCTTCAGCACACTTACAACTACTAGCATAGGAGGACATGCACGTCTTCAGAGGTCCGCCCAGGCTTGCAAAACACAGCTGGAAGCTTGTGATGGTTCCCTGCCCTGAAAGCTTCATGCCTGCATATGAAGCATCCCAATATCCAAAGACAAAATTCCAACAGGAACAGGCGGAGGGCAAAAGGGAGAGCACCAGCTTGGGATTCCTCAGCACTGAAACCCTTGCTGTCACATAAGCAATGCAAAAGTTCCCTACTCTGGCAGTAGATCACAGCAGATAGCAATTGCAACCATCAGCAAACGTATTTCAAGCCTACCTGGTTAATGGAAATCCAATTTTATCTGATCCAATTTGCTCATCTAGAGGCAGAGTCCATCAGCTGAAACAGCAAGTTCTTGTAGGAGTACATCTTGCTTTGAGGGCAACTTACTAACATCATATTCAAGCAGCTCCTGACTGTCAGAGTGCAACCAGGGGAATGATGCCTCTGGATATTGATATCCAGCGACAACTGCTTCTATTAATCATTCCACAAAAGGGAATAGAAACAGTAATCAGAACCAGAGAAATCAGGCAGGCATTCCCTACCCCAATGATAAATGTGAAACTAACTCTAAAGAGAAGCCACAGTCTTTTCTTCTTCTGAGATCTTTGTGGGTGTTTTTTGACTCTCCCCATTCCCAAGCATCTTTGCCCAACCATAACCTAGGAACGCTGTAAGAGAGAGACATGGGGCCCATACAGAAACCACTGATGGAGCTGGGCTGTGGTAGTCCATGGACAGACTGAATCCCCCAGCTGATCCACCCCATCACTTCCAGGGCAGCCACACCACTGGCTCTGAGCTGCCCTTCTTTCAAGCACTTGGAAGAAGAATTGAGATACAAAGGAAAAGGAAATTGCTTTGGTAGGAAGGAGGAGGCACAGGGTGATGCACAAAGCTTTTGGTTTAAGCTAAATAAGGAGGACTAGCGCCCTACC